AGGACTTCATCAATGTCACTGTATTCACCCTTCTCATCGATCAGGATAGCCATTGCTTTCCCTCGGCTCGAAGCTAACCTGCATGAATAAGACCATTGTTCATCTTTCCTTATTTGATCAGTGGGCTTACCAACTTTGCCATGACCTTTGGGAGTAGTTTGAGATTTCCGGTTGCACCTCACAAAGTCCTTCTTCACGTAAGTCTGAACGGTATTGTTAGACTCATTGAATCTGACCTTCTTCTTGATCACGTTCGATGCAACCTTGTGGAACGTCCCTTCATCATCACTCCAATCATGGATAAGTGCAGGTGTAGCCTTTGAGCTCGGTGCCTCAGTGTTTGGAGCAGTGTTGAATAGATGAGGATCGTGGCGTTTGTTGCATTTGTCTCCATACCGACACTTGCCCTTGGCCCAATGCCAGCATGGCTCATCAATCTTCTTGGTCTTGTTTGCAGGAGATTGACTTCTTGGAGTTCCTGGCTTTCGACCGTTGCCTTTAGCATTCTTGTTTGCATCGAACACCTTTTGGTCGTGACTGTATTCGCAATCTTTGCCCTTTCTGCATGCTTTCTTGATGAAATGGAAATGGCACGGGATTTTCTTCTTGGATCTCGGACTGGCACTTCGGCTGTTTGCTCGATCCTTTCCTTTCCCTTGACCTTTTCCCTTCCCTTTTGCATGCTGCTTAGGCTGAGGAGATGGTAGAACCGGAGCTGCATCGGCCTTGGCCTTCGCCTTGGGTGCTGCCTTCTCCTTGGGAGTAGCCTTAGGCTTTGCTTTCGGGTTCGCATCCGGTGCAGCAGCAGTCGGATTTGGCGCAGGAGCTGAAGGTTTGCCGCCACCTGCAAAATCTCTTGCATACTTTTCTCTAGCGGCTACATGCTTGTCCTCTCTAATTCTGGAGATATGTCTTTCGATGACGTCCAAGAGATAGCGATAGCTTCGTCTTTGGTCTCCCTCCATCCATGACTCGTACTGCTTGATGTCGAACATCATAAGGCTCGAATTTCGAATCTTCTTGTATAAAGCATCACGAAGCCAATCATCAGGAGGTACATCATCCGGCATCATGTTGGATACCATCTCCATCCATTTCTCATAGAACACTTCCAGGTTTGAGTCACCGAGATACTTCATCGATACGATGTGCTCCATAGTGAAGGCTGTCTCTCGTTGACCTGGAGTTCTGAAGTGCTCCAAGATCATAGCCAAGATTTCCCGTCCCATGACATAGGTTCCTCTTCGACTATGACTTTGTGTCCTCAATCTCAGTTTGATCGCTAAATGACGAGCAACATCACCGGCTTGGGCTATCACATTCGACAACGCAATTGACAACTTGGCGTCGATTGACTGATATCGTTGCCCTCCACTGTCATTCAATAGCTCGATGTCGGGATTTGGTCGAATAGCCGGTTGTAACCATGCTTCCCATGCGGCTTTGTCCCCATCATTGGCAGCAAGAACAACGCTCTTAATGAGATCTGATTGCCAGACCCCAAGATTCTGCTGTTTCGGCCATGGGCTAACATAGACCTTGTCAGCCTCCCGTCGTGACATTCTTGGCGCTTCCTCTGCCGTGTAAGCTGCAGTGGAGACATCATCTGCTGAATCACGTTGTGATCCTCGAACTGAAGGCAATCCCGGAGGTTCAGGAGGTGGTCCTGGACCGTTGGGCCCGAAAGGGTCAGGAGGTCCATCAGGGTCAGGCGGACCGCCCCATCCACTCGGTGGTTTGTAGTAGTCCCTTTCAGTTCCGTCAGCGATCCTATTGTCGACTTCTCTCAACAGATCAGTGATTCTTTTGTTTGATTGAGAAGGTTGTCGTTGAGGATGTACAGCATGTTCGCGATAGGATTTGGCTACATTTGTTTCATGGTTCAACTCCTTGTCAATCTGCGAGACCCAAGACTTCAGAATAGCGTTTTCACAGTTAGCCTCACTCACGTCATTCTCCAATTTGTCGATGACTAGTCTTGATGCGAGATCGTAGTTGGGAATGCCTGCAGAATAGGAAAGCGTGTCAGGGTTGACCCTTGACAGGGATATTTCAGAATCCTTGAGACTCTTCCTCATTTCATCTACTTGACGTTTCATGTCCATAATCTCAGAATTCTTAATACCGATCTTTTCATCCCTATCCTGGATTTCTCCCATGAATATGCATGATCTCTCATATTGTTGAACACCACTAGCCAATACCATTTTGCGCTCATTCTCTAGTTCAGATTTCAGAGTTCGGACCTCGGTATTGGTGAGGGACGGCGCCCCTACATCCGCAACTTCAGTCAATCTCTCCTTTAACAATAGGTTCTCTTGTAAACATTCATGAATTTCATGGTCTAGGTCCTGAACCCTGATTTGAGCGATCTTAGCCTGATTACGCAGATCTTCGACAAGCATCTCATCGGGGCCACGACCGTCGGTCGTAGAACCCTGAGTCAGCGATCTCCGTAACTTCGCGTTCTGCAACTTGATCTCATCCTTCAGTTCGCAGTTCATCTTCTGCTCGTTCGCATAGAGCTCCTCATAATGCTCTGCCTTTGCGATTGAGTTTGTGCTAGCCTGTGATTCAAGCCTCAGGTGCGATATTGCTTCGGCCTCTTGGTTCCTGTATGATGCAATTCTTCTGACGGTATCATGTTCGGTATTCCGATGCTTCAGGTCACTTTCCAACTTGGCCTGATTTGCCTCGAACACCTTCTTCCTAGATTCTCTAGTGATCTCATCAATACTGCTCTCATACAGCTCGGCCTGTTTACGAGACTGAACCAAGGCTTCACTCAATAGTTGATTCCGCTCAGACAATTCATGAACTGCAATCGATTGCTGTTGGCTAATCGCTTCAAGTTGATTACTAGAGAAGGATGCCATCTCGGATCGATTACGATATTCCATGATTGAATTCTGGAAGTCTGTTTGCATTTCCTGACCTTCATTGTATAGTCGATTGGCAATATCGGTGGTTAAGACATTGGTCTGATGAAGTTGTTGAAGTCTTGCCTCCGTATTGCCCAGTAGTCCTTGAAGGTGATGTACTTCATCCTTGTACTCTTCCTGGATCTCCATGCCACGTTGATGGATCCGTCGTGCACCATGTTCCATTAGAGCACCTCGGCGTTCAAGGTCTTGAATGCGCATTGTTGCACCTTCATCTTCCTGAGATGCTACCATTAGTTCTGCTTGATATTCTGCAACCTCATTTGCGGAACGTAACAATCTGTTGTTGAGTGCATTGACCTCATCAAGTACATTCTGGTTGTGTTCCCGAAGATATTCAGTGAATCTAATCTCGATGTCATGAATCAGTTGATCTCTAGATGCAGCGTATGCTTCCATGTTGTTCAGCTGATTACGTAGAGATTGACATTGTGCCCGTAGTTCCTCTATCATGGCAATAGGTTCACTAGCCACAGAAGTATCTGTTGATCTCCTCTTAACACGACTATCCCCGGTCCTCTCACCAATTCGGTCGGTCACGGCCCTGGTGGATCTGTCCCTTGGAGTAGTTCGTCCTTGAGATGGTCGATGCCCTTGACGGACAACATCACTCCGAGCACTGTTTCGAGAAGATCTAGGTGTGCTTTGAGTGGATATTCTTCGTCTGTTTGATGTGACTTGCCATCCGGACTGTGTAGTTCGGGTAGAGCGTATCCCGCCACTGTCTGCCGTGTCACCGGGGGAAGATTGATTGACCTCCTCGACCGGCATAGCAGCGTTCTCATTGAAGGTAAATTGCGTGGTGCGCGAATCTCCGCTGCCGCCTTGCATCTTTGCGATGATGAGCTGATTGGTCCTTTGCGTCCTCAATCAATTGCTCAGAAGGCCCGGCTACCAGCACGCAGGCATCACTCTCCCGGCGGGAGAAGTGAGCACTACGGCTGATAACCTGTGAACAAATGAATCCTTGTTCTGGATATCCTTGACGTTGTAGTTCCCTTGTGCTGTTAACCGAACCAATCAAGACATGAAGCAGCACCGCGCACTATTTTCACCTTGCAATGGGGTCTTGAGCCAAATGGCGTCCCAATGCGTTTACTGGCGCAAATGTACAGTTTATGCACCTATATTGTCGCTTCGTTCCCTTTAGCAAATATTATATTAATATTAAATTATATTATATTGTATCATATCATATCATATTATATATTATATTGTATTATATTGTATTATATTATATTATATTATATCATATTGTATTATATTCTGTTATATTGTAGTATATTATATTATAATATATATGTGTATATATAATATGTATATATATATATATTATGTATATATGAATATATATATATGTATTATATTATATGTATATATATTATATTATATCATATTATATTATATTATATTATATATATGTATATGTATATATATATATGTATGTGTATATCTGTATATATATATATATATGAAATTAATTGAAATATTATCCCAGTGACCCAATGAAATCGCTGTTATGTGGGGTGGACCAAGCCCACTTACGATTCCTGGGGTGAACCACCAAGTACCCCTCAAAGCTCAGCCACACTGCTTGGTGGTTAAGTCACTTACACAAAAAATGACCGGGGATAGTCACTCCACAGTAGCTTGAGATTAAAACAACAAAATAATTCGAAATATGAATCAGAAAAATGATGAGTATCAAATGGAACAAAAAAAGACAATGTAAACTTGTCAGGAAATTGTTGGCTTCTGGTTTGGCCTTCTGTAGGCTCCACTTTTTGGATTCAAAAAAAAGATTAGACCGAGACTTGCTCGAGTGAAGAAACCGCTCAAACAAATCGGGGTTCGGATCAGATCTTAAAACATCTGGCAGTGTGTCAAAACCTTGTACCCCTGGTGAACATCAAAATAGCTGGTAAATGGATGTTCATCCCCCTAAAAATGGTATTAATAGGTATTGATCCATACCCATCTCAAGTTACCACAAGCCAATGAGCCTTGGCTCCATTGGCACCCCAGGACTTGACCTCTATCCATCCCCTTCGATTGCGCCTCCAACTTCCCTTGATGCAACCGGCTTTTCAAGCACCGCAAGCGCCGCGTGTCTCCCACTAGGAACCGCAGCAGCAGCACTAGGCGCAACAGCAGCGCCAGCAGCAAGGGGGACTGGCGCAAGCGGAATGGATCCGTGATGATCTTTGAGGCGGCCAACAAAACAGACAAAAACCCAAGGGAATTTGAAGTGGTCATCGGTCATCAGTAGTCATTCACTGAACGACCTTGACGAAATCCATCAAATCATTGTGGAAGGGCCAGAAATACCGCACTTGCGGGTCGTGGCCGTTCCTGGCCTGCTCCACTTGCGGGCACCAGGGACCCATGACCTGGCAGTCAGGATTCGCTGAATGATCCTCCAAGTACCAGCCAGTTTGCAACCACTTACCACATTTTACCACCACTTAGAGGTGCATCTCGGTTGGGATTCGCTGTTACCCATGTCTTGCCTTCCCATCTGTTCGGGGATTTTCCAGCGGCCCACAACGTTTGATGACACCAGAAGCTACATATGGGTATGGGTCAAAATTAGATACCGCTAAAATTAAATAGTTAATGCTAAATAGTAAAACTAAATATTGACCCATGACCTATACCTATCTGGAGGTTTCCCAAAATGGGTACCCCCAAATCATCCAAGTCATTAGACCATGACTTAGTATTGAAACGCATGGTGACCTGGGAATCCCACATTTTAAGAAACCTCCATAAAAATGGAAGGATGATCGATAAATCTTGGTTATGTTGAGATGAACAGATATAGATCTGGGATGATATGGGTATAGGTCAAAATTGGGTACCCAAATGATTAGACGGTTAATACTAAACATATTATACATGTCAATCTCTGGTTCATGGGGCTTAAAGTTTGGTCCATCCCCATATCGATACACTTGAGCATTGCTCAAATTCTGTCATTCCACTATACTGGTTGTTCAGTAGGGATTCCCCTATAGTGGATTATTATAATTCCGAATATATGAAGGGTAGTATTTATAATTCCCACACTAATCATCAACCAGTCATCATTAATCAATGATATTCCCATATATTTGATACGTTAAACCCATAGATCCCCAAACAAAATGATGGCTTTTAACCCCCGAACTCATCCTCAACCACCCACCATGTATCAATGATATCATCCTTCTATCACCATATTTTGATGATTAGAACCCCTATGTTGAACCCCTAATCATACAGGACTATGGTTGAAAATCAACCGCTCTAAAGGACCTTTTTTTCAGCAACCGCTCGTTTCAAATCAGACCGCTGTCCTCGCCTCCCCGCTCTGCAGATCAAACTTCGTCCCAAAGACCTGGCAGCTGCCCCGCAAGAGCCGCGCGTCCACCGAGGCCCCGGGGCTCAGCAGCGATTGACGCCTGGAACTGTCAAGGCCCCGGGAGATGTCAGGATGGGAACAGTTAACCATGGGGACAACGTTATATAACATGAATAATGTTACATTATAACATACATAGTAATAATGGGGACAAGTTATATAACATTATATGAGATTATTTACTGCAACAGTTCACCATGTTCTATTTGATAATGTTTGATATATTAGTTTATAGGGGAGTGAGTGATTTTGTTTCCAGGATGGTGAACATCATGGATTGAACAGAGTTGTTCCTTTGGAGAATTGGAATTTCATGGGGTACTTCATGGAATTTAATGGGGCCAGCTGGAATGGTTTTTGATGCCAATTTGGAAGGTGAAGAAGTGCAAGAACTGAAGGTGCTCCATTTTTGGAGGCCCAATTATATCTAATTATCATAAAATGATGTCTGATGAGTCTTTTTCGCTATCTCTTGACAAAATCGGAAGCTTCAGCAGTACACCTATGGTTCAAACAAAGGGATTTCCCTATGTCTTCCAGGCACAAGGGCGGCACCGCGTCTTCCGTCACGTAGATTTCCCCATCCTTGCCTGGTTGGTAGTTGGGATTGTCACGAAGCTCCCCGGTTTACAACATGTGCGTGTGTCTGAAAATGAGGGATGGACGCCCAGAAAGTGTCCCATGTTGAGTGGGGAAATGAATGGAAATGATGATCAACCAGGGGATTTTTTGGGAGGTACCACTTTTCAATACTAAATTGTCAAAGTGCTAATTGATATTTAGTGAATGGTTTTTAATTGTGATTGCATGTTTTTCAAAAGCAAAAACAAAGCAAACCTCTACCAAATCCAAAACTTTACCTTGTTCAAAAAAGGTGTGTTCTTTATTAAAATCCTTTTAAAAAATTGCAAAAAAAGGGTCCACAAAGGGTACCCCCTTGCAGGTCCTTGCATTTGCAATTTAAAATTGGAATTAGCACTTGCAATAAAAAGCAACCTTTCTGGCTCTAGCTGTATTTGATTCCCTTCTTCCTTATAGTGACGGACATGTACTTAGAACATCAATTTTTTCCAAAATTTCGAAACCTCCTCTTAGAACATCAAAATTACCATACTTAGAACATCAGAAATGTTTCTAAGTACGCACTTAGAACATCAGAAAAACAGATACTTAGAACATCTCCATTGATTTTTGCATACTTAGAACATTAAAACACACATATACTTAGAACATGTCCTGTTACTTTGGTAAATCTGCATATATACACACAAATACCTTGGTGAACACCATACTTAGAACACTTTCTCCCTAGCCTATTAGTTTATAAATATCCGCCGACCCCGGCAGAAATTAGGCGGCAGGGGCGGCAGCCCTTAAATAAATATATCTATATATAGTATTATATAGTGTGTATATATATAATTAGCGACGGACAAATACTTCGAACATACATATATGTATGGTTCCCATTGGTTCCCCACTGGGATCTTCTAAGTATAGCTTGGAAATGTTCTAAGTATAGGTTTTGGGTATGTTCTAACTACTTTTTTTGAACCCCATACTTAGAACATCCCCGCTGTGACGATTTTCAGATTTTTTTTCCAAATGATGTTCTAAGTAGTTGTCCGTCACTATAGTGTTTTTAATTGTGGTTGAATGGTTTTTAATTGTGATTGCATTGGATTTGTCAAAACCTTACAGAAGCCTTGGGGAAGAGTTGGGATTTTCGATTTACTATTGCAAAGCAGACCCCCCCCTTAAAAAAAGAAAAAAAAATAGAGGGGCCTCCCCTTTACTATTGTCGATGTAACATTATGGAAAATCACCATGTTTAATCGGAAAATCAACTATAAATAGCTTTTTTCAACAGCTACGTTAAATTACCAGATGGTATCATTTATGTTGTTCGGGTTGGTCTTGTCCACTGCCGAGATATTTTGGGGAAAAACTCTCAAACAATACAACAATTTGGGAGTGTGTTGAAAAAATTGTGGAGTATAGTTCTGACATTCCGGACGGTAACATACGGTAACCCATAGCAGCCAAAAAAATTAGATAGAAACCACCTTTAAAAACTTACCGTGATGCCGTGCAGCTTGCATGGCAAACTGATGGACCTAAGTCCACCATTTCCGTCCGCACCCCTGTGATTTCCCACATCTGGTGGTTCTTGACTCATTTACAAATAAACCATCTGTCTCAGTTATTATACCCCAACTTGCCCCACAGGCCCCAAATTTTTTTAGCCGCTGAACCCCCCATTTTCTGTGGGTGAAATCTCCAAAATAGCGTGGAGGATCATCCCAGTTGGTAAGTAGCTAGCAACTCTGATTAATGAGTCGCTTGAGATTGTGCAATCTGTAAGTGTGTGTGTGTGTGAAGCAAGCCCACAACACTAAGTCATATTCCTGGTGTTGTTTAAAATTCTATACTATTTGTACGTCATATACCCATGAGTACAAATCACTAGTTGACTAGTTGTTTGTGTAGATGAGCTACTCACAGTACAAATTAAATCCACATGAACATATCCACTTCGAAAACCACATCAAAACGATATCATTATATCATATCTATATATATATATGTGATCATACATATATACATACATATATATATATATATATCAGATATCTTATTATCTTATGTGTATATCTATATATAATGATAACTCAACAAATGGTTCGTTCGAACCACGTCTGTGGCTGTCAGATTCTCGCCTCGTAGTACCGCCAGGGCCATGCCATGGCGCTGGAAGCGTTTCAGCGCGCCACGCCGGGGCAACTCCTAGAGCTCCGGCGTGGCGTAAAAAGTTCGGTGACTTAACAAGACATGCCATGTGGATGTTGAGAGGTTAAATGTGGTTAAATATGGTTTCATTTATTGTTTCATGACTTAAATCCCGACTTTGCCCATTTTAATGGGAAATTTCAGAGATTTCAGTGATTTGACCTTGAACTTATCAAACAAAAACACCTGCGAAATCATTGATTTACTCTTATTTCAGAGCCATCTTGAGATTCTAAATCATGGGATTTGGGATGTGTGGCTGAAACTTGAGTGTTTGTTTGTTTTTTTTCGGACTGGAGGGAGCAACATCGTTAAACCACATTCTTGCGCATCACCCAAACATGTTTTGAAATATGTTGAATCCAGCTAGAACAAGCAAACCCAATCGAATCTGCCGAAACCAAAATAATCAAAATAGAATTCGGCAAGCTCATCCATGTTCGTTTTTTCGTTGCAAGTATTTCAAGAATCGGAAGCCCATTTCGCCGGCATTTCGCTGCTCTCCTCCTCCCCTGCTAACTGAAGCCACATGTCATGCCATGGCTGCGCTGCCATCCAATGACATGTAAACCGTAGATCTCCTGTCAGAAATCCCGAAGGCTGCAATTTGAGTTGAGAATCATGACCATGGTGCTGCAACCTCACTGCTTTACCGCAATATTCTCCGCTGGATCAGTTGGTTCATGCAGTGCGATTGAGCTCGAACAGCTACAAGGGCTTTGGGCGGGGATTTATTTCATGACTCCATGACGTCTTTGAGAACTCCAAAATAGTATATACGTTATTGCAAAAAAACAAGTCATGATTCCAAAGTTTCAATGTACCTCAAAAAGCACTGGAGGTTTCCTAAAAAGGGGGTACCCCCAAATCATCCAAACTTAGACTATTCTAGTATATTCTAGTATTGTTTCCCATGGTTTTGGGGGATCCCCCATTAAAAGAAACCCTGAAAAATTATTACTGATGTACTTCAACACGATGCGCCAGGGCGTCTTGACAGAAAAATGCTTTCACAAAACACCCTGTCTGTGAAAAAGACTCAAATTGTCTACTAAAACTATATATTGATTATATCATATACTTGGGATGAGTCAAGAGTTTAAGACCCTTCATGTTTAATGCTACTCACATGTTTGATCAAATCGCTCATTTCGCGCGCGTAAAAGTGTACCATCCTAGGATCACTTCATGTTGAAGTCCCCCGTTGAAGTGGTCCCGGCTGCGCGAGCTGACAGTTGTACTGCTGCGGGGCCACGGCACTCATCGTTTTCAGTGGGGGACCTTCTGGTCAACAACCATGAACAACCATGGCTGGATATGGCTGGATCCCATTTCAATATATTCAATCCATTTGGTTGCCACCATTGGGATTTCCAGACATGACTAGACTCATCCTAGTAACGTCTCAAGTAGATCATTTGTGCCACCCCTCTGCAGTCCGACTCAGTCGGACCATGTTTCGATGTCGATTCGACGACGAAAAGTTGGGCACAACTCGAGTCAGGCTGTCAGGCTGGCCTGTGGCGTGCGAAAAAGGACCTGAAAAATCCTGAATCGTAATCGATGTGGGTCTAAATTGAAAGATGAAAGGCAAATATTGATCCACAAAATCGGCCATCGAAGCGACGCTTTAGCGTGGGCAATTCGGGCTCACTTTTCCTCCGCGGCTCTTCTTTGAAGGCATTGCTTCAAGAAGTCTTTGGTGAGGTCGCTTCAGGTCGCTATTAAGAATCTTTCAGAAAATTTGGTACAATTCCTCTCAATATGTTTGAATTCAGTCTGCCACACGGGCATTAGTTGAAACACAAGGTTGTCTCAGCGAGCTCTCGACGTTCGCACTGGTTTTCATAGTCCTTTCGAGACGGCCTTGATACCAACGGTCAGGCACCAAGTGACCATGGAATAGAACAGCATGCACGCGAAAAAAATGGCAGCACGCTCCTTAGGTTGGATGATGGAGGTTCAATGGTCGAAGTCGGTTAAAAGGTGGGAGCCAATAATTCACATTGCCACACCCTGGGATTTCTCTGCATCTGGGTCCCTCGATTTGAGAGTGCTCAGCATGTGTTATGTGTAACAATTACCCTGCAACCTTTGGGTTTTCAATGGTTTTCAGGATCCGAGTCTGAGGCTTCAAAAGTCAATGCTTCTTCGGTGCTTGTGGGCCTTGAGTGAAAAAACAAAACCAACATAAACCAACGATGATTTTCTGCGGTGAACATTGGCAGGATGACTGGCGGGCAAAGCCAGTGGTTCCAGCGAATATTTCATGCGTATCATATGTTCTTGTCTCACATCCCATCCGATCCCAGACTCCAAAGGGCTGCCATCGAGTTGCAACTGGAAGGAGAGTGTAGAAGGAAAACAAATAGCCGTAAGTTGCTATGACGATCACACATGGCACGACCAAAGTGCAGGAACTCAAAAAATTCTTCATGATTTCAAGGCATTGATTCTTGGGCGTGGTCCGTGTCAACTTGCCCACCAGGATGAGCACCTCCTTCAACATGGGCATGAACACCAGCCAAACGCTCACACCATCCAGCAAGAAGGCGAAAGATGATTTCTGCCAGAATTCTTTTGCAGGCACCTGCCACTCACTTGCTGAGATGTCCATCAAGCCCCACATCAGCGGCATGAACATTGCAAGACTGGACTTGGTGCTGAAAATCCGTTCCGTCAAGTCATGGGTCAAAATGGCCAAAATCTCTGAACGCAAGGTGTTCTCAAAGGCTTCCTGGATCGTGGATCAATTGAGTGAAACCATGCAAGTCGTCCGGAAGAAAATCGCATAAAATCGCCCCATGTGTTCATGGATTCAAAAAAAACTGACAGAACCCACGAACCCGAGCTCCAGAACTTGCAAGGGTGATAGGTTTTGCAATTTTCCGTATTGTAAGATTTTAACCGCTTCCAAAGCCTCCACAAGTGATAGGTTTTCCAGCTATACCCATTGTGATTGGATATTTCACCGCTTCTGAAACCTTCACAAGTGACACGTTTTTCAGCTACCCCCATTGTCAGTGAACCTTTCTCCGCTTCAAAACCAACCAGACTGCAACTTCCGTCATTGTAAGTGAACATTTCGCCGCTTCCGAGACCTTCACAAGTGATATTATAGTAGGTCTTTAGATTTCCCCATTGGCAGTGAACATTTCACCGCGTCCAAAACCCTTCAAAGGCGACAGTTTTTGCAACTTCCCCATCGGCGGTGGGCGGTGAACATGCGTTACCGCTTCCAAATCGCCAAAAGTAATACGCTTTGCAACTTTCCCCATAGTTGGTGACCAGCTCACTTGCACCTTTCCCCCAATGCCAGGGAACATTTCACAGTTTCCAAAACCTCCAAAGGTGACAGACTTTGCAACTTTTCACATTGTTAATGAACAAATCACCCCTTCCAGAAAGCTGGAAACTGTCAAAAATGACAGGTATATTCTCAGTGAACAGTTCACCGATTCAAAACCTGCAAAAGTGGTTTCTCACTTTCTTCATTGTAGGTGAACAACTCTCCGCTTCCAAACCGCAACTTCCCCCTGCGTCAGCAATTTGCAGTACGACCTGAGCCGAGACAAGCCGAGACAAGACACCGTGACAGGCGACGCAAATAAGGCTACATCCCCAGACCCCCCGCCAAGGAAACGAGAACCCTTCGCTCCGCATTCTGGAAAGTCACAATGAAGGTATTGAAATCGCCAACGAGTTTCTTGGCTCCCGAACCACACATTCACGCATTCCTGCACAATCCTCCGGTCGCAAATGACTGGGGCTCCAGATGCCCCGACATGGTTGGTGTCGCAACAGCTACTTCGAGCGGTATCAAAAGAGATGGACAGCAGCTGCTGTTTCACGATGTCCAGATCTCGGAAATATCTGCGTAGAGTGCTCATGGCCACATAGAAAACTACAAAGCCAGACAGGCACATAAAAATTGCAGGAACCACAAAGGCAATAGCTCCGTTTGAAACATCGATTGGTGCCATCGTGAGAGGAATCATGCCAGCAACACAAGTCAAGAAAACTGCAATATGAACCGGCCCAAGAAAGGTTGGCCTGATGATCAGTTCCTTTTTGAGATCTTTTTTGCTCTGCAAGAAGGCTGCAAGCTCAAACAAACACCACAACCGCTCAGTCCAACTTGGATCCCATAGAATGAGCATCGAATCCGACTTTTTAAGCAACCCAGCCAGGCTAAAAATCGCTTGAGTTTTCAAGGCCACGTCAGTTTGGCTGATGCAAATACGGTCCAAGAATACACGACTTTGAGGTCGCCACAGTATCATCGCGAGAGAGGTGACCAGGAAGCCAGACCAGAGCGACCAACACGAGTAGCCAAAGGGAAACTCGCCCGTCCTCAAAAAAGAGAGCGGCCAGATTGCGCGTTTTCATGACATCATGACATGTATGCAGAGAGATCATGGCCTAGAGGATTTACAAGAAATGAATAAAGTAACATGTGCGTTCATGTGACTTCTTTATTATAGTTTGAGGCATCTTAGCTTCTAGCTAGTCCCATGGGCCCCTACCAGAAATAGAAGAGGAAAACTTAGCAATATCGGTAAGTAGCCTTCAGTCCCTGAAGCAAGAAGATATATATGTCTAATTGCTGCCCTAAGAAATCTTAGATGCAGTGATCACAGTTGATGAGGCAGTAGCTTGCACATCAGGCAACATTAAACGACAAGGACCTGAAAAGTAAAACCATTGTAACAGCTGGGAGAAAAAAACGGTCGGGGAGAAATATACTGTAGTACAGAAGTGTTTGCTATGAAAATTTGTATTGAGCTTATGAATATCAGAGATAATTGGATTTCAATTTTGACCGGTTGCGCCATACCCAAACGATAGCGTGGTGTTTGCTTCTATGTTGCATGTCTTTTTCAAGCAAGCGTCAAGTGGAAACAGCACTTTGATTGCCAGGAGGTGTCATTTTTCCCCAAGCAGTGCTGCATCTTCTTGACTGAAATCCCTGCATCATAAAGAGATATAACATGTGTTGCAAAGCATAGTATCAACTCAGATTTTAAGGACAGCAGCATGCGCGTTTCATGGCAAATATGTGTTCAACTAGGAAACTGCATTGTTTAAGAAATGTTGCATCTTCGACAAAGATGCTGTCTCTTCAAAATAAATTTGGATTTTTTTAAAGAAATGTTCCACATTTGAAAGGGGTTCACTCTTTTCCTAAGCAATCTTTCATGCATCAAATGAAAAGCGCGCTGTTTGAGAAAAATGTGCATTATAGATATATAGAGTTATACAATGTTATACATGCATATACATACATAGTACAACTATTTGATACTAGTTGTATATAAGTCTTATACTTGTCTTAACTGTTTTTTATCAACTCAAAAAAAACAAAATAAACGGCATTGCATTTTTGAAGGCTATACTCATTTCAGGCATATTGTACCTTTTATGTGTACGGTTTGCTGACGAGAAGGTTGCATTTTCTGCAAAAAATATTATATATATATATTACCTTATGGAGGGGAAACGATAGCACTCAAAAAAAAACAAATGTCAAGAGCATGTTTCTTTCAAAGAAGAATGGATTCAGTAGGGGAATGGGTTTTCTGTAAATTGACTTGTTCTGTGCATTTATGTATTGTTTGTATATGTATGCATATGTACAGTATCTAAAAGAGACATGGTTTTTGGATGTTTTTGGCTGAAAACGAATTGTAACGGCAAACAAATTCAAACACACAGGGTTTGATCTAGGCATCTGGTTTCTTGCATTCTGTTTAGATGTGCCTAAAAGCCTTTTGGAACAAGGACACCAACCAAAAGCAGAAAATACACCACTTGGATGGGCCATGGAATTAGTAAATGGCAAGTGCCACGACTTCAAACGCAAAGGGGTATGCAGAAGGGGCCAAAAAGGCAAGGAAAACCCACAACAACAGACTTGGAGCCAAAAAGTCTTCAAAAAAAGGAATTAATCCAAAACCTCGAGAAAACCAAAAAACATCAAAAAACTATCTAGACTCTTTGGGGCGGGGTCCCAACCAAGAGTCTCTGAGATTTTTTGTTTTGTCTTGTTGGGTTTTCCAAAGTTTTTGTATGTTCCATTTTTTCGAGGTGTTTTGGCAATTGTGTCGAATTTGATTCATCGTCGAAGGAAGTTTAGAAGTCAAACTTCCGACAATATGGACAGATGAAAAGCAGAGTAGGGCAGAGCAGAGAGAAGAGAAAGATTAGAAGAGAGAAGAGTAGAAGAAAAAGTCAGAAGAAAGAAGATGCAAAGGTAGGAAAGTCGCGAAACATTGTGTTTTTCGAATGAATTGTGGCTCCGGAGGGTCGAAAAGTAGGCTCGCTAAAGCCGCGGGTGCGGAGCCAGCTGGCCAGATGAGAGATGAAAAATTGCACGCCGTTGTGGCGCCAAGCACATTTCGAAGTCAAAATGTACAAAGCACACCATTCTCGGACCACTTTTGGAAGGTGAGATGTCGAAAAAGTGCACGCCGTTGTGGCGCGAAACACATTTCCAAGTCAAAATGTACAAAACACACCAGGTTCGGACCACTTTTGGAAGTTGCGATGTCGAAAAAGTGCACGCCGTTGTGGCGCGAAGCACATTTCTAAGTCAAAATGTGCAAAACACACCACGTTCGGACCACTTTTGGACGTTCAGAGCTCGTTTCGCGTGGCAGGCACAAGGGATTGTCAAAAGCGAGCAAAACGTGAGGGTTTTGTAGCATTTTCAACTACAACCACCACTACACCACACTACACTCCAATACACTACACTCAATTACACTCAATTACACTACACTGCATTACACTACGCTACACTCCACTACACTACACTACATTACACTAAACTACGCTACACTACCTTCCACTACACTACATTACACTACACTACACTACATTACACTACACTACACTACCTTCCACTACACTACATTACACTACACTACACTCCACTACACTACACTACATTACACTACACTACACTCCACTACACTACACTTCACTACATTCCACTACACTACACTCCACTACACTACAACTACAACTACACAACTCCACTCCACTACACTCCACTACACTAAGCTACATTACACTACACTACACTACCTTCCACTACACTCCCCTACACTACACTACATTACACTCAATGACACTGCACCACAGATAGACAGGTAGACAGCTGGACAGATAGATAGATAGATAGATAGATCGATAGATACATAGGTAGATAGATAGGTGGGTAGGTAGATAGTCAGAGAAAGAGAGAGAAAGAGAGGAGACATCAATCACCTTTCGATCCATCAGTGGCTTCGCTCTGCCATCCGTGCTTCACAACAACCAACCTTTCCTATAGGTTTCCTATTCTTGAGACTTCCGCCACCGCCTTGTGCGGTACTACTGGCAGTTTCAGAGAGATAATTCCATCAGAGCGCATTGCAAAGAAGAGTTGTATGAACTTTAGCACTGTTTGCAGGCAAAAACTGCACTCTGGTGGCCTACCGCTCTCAACACGAGTATCCAAAGGGATATTTGACCGTCCTCAAAAAAGATAAAGATACGTAAAGATGGGAAATCGGCCTTGTAAGCAAGGCACATTGGTGTCACGGGGGCAAAGAGGTGGTCGAGGACTTACCGAAGCTGTGGATGTCCATGTCCAAGATGGTCCAAGCAACCCACACAAGGACGACACCGAGGGCCCTGGACCATCACTGCTTTATGATATACTTTATGTATATAGTTAGTTTCTTTGTTTCAGGGAGAACCGAAAGGAACAGAATCATCAGAATGTAAGTCTGGTTTCGCCTCGATTGTCTCGCTTTGTCATAAAAAACGACACTTCAACAGGAGGAAAACGACGGGGGCCACAGGCGGGCAGCAGCATCCTCACATAACCTTGGGGAAGGATAATTGTCTGGATGTGATGTTTGATATTTGAAAGATACAAGATGAGAGCTTGGTGAGGCTTGCTGCGCTGCTTCGCAACTGGGTAGCTATCCCCAGCAAATATCGGCTTAAATCACATTTGTTTATGGAAAAATGACCGCGTAAATCACCTTGTGTAAACAAAACGAACATGCCGTAGGGACCTTCTGCGCCGATTTTCATCGAGTTTTGAAGTTTTAAATCCACCTGTTCGTCATAATTATTCCGATGAAACTTGTCACAAGTGGAGCTTCTGGTTACAGCCCACCATGTCGGATGTTTTCCGGCCCGTCCTGCCCCGGTCCAAGCTCGGAAGGAGGTCCAAGCAGAACAGCAGCATCATCACAAGAGCCGAGAGCATGCCCAAGACGGACGCCGCCGGGCCGTTGTAAATGGTGATGAGCGTTATGATCTTCTTCCTGTGTCATATGGCTATGGCTCAAAACATGCGATACCATTCGGGGGGATGGACGTCATTGAACATCTATATGCCGGCCATTCTGATAAGCTAAATGGTACCAAGGTTTTGACCCATGCCCATCTGTGCTTGTCTCGAACTTGGGGATTTACTCACTCCAGTTTCTAAGGTCGTTTAAAAAAGTGCGAACATCATGGTTTAGAATGGTTCTCAAATTGTGCAACAACTCCAGAGGTATGATCCTTATGTTCCCTATTAAAATTGCTAGACTATTCTGCGACCCAAAAATGATTAAAATGGTTTCATCACATAAAACAAAAGGATTACATTCATCACTGTCTCAGCTCAGTTTCCAATGTCCATCGTGCCATGAGTGACTCCAAAAGGTGGAAATCTTCTCACTCCTCTCACTCTTGAAATAGAAGTCACCAGTACATTCCTTTCGAAAGGCGACAGCACCCTTCTCAAAGGTTCGGAAGGCAGGTGTGACCCTTACAACCTCGGAACTTGTCACCTCCATCCGTGCAATCTGCTGAGCAACTCTCTGCTGGAACCTGAGTTCTATTTCAGTTTCTCTGATGTCCTCAGCATCCTCAGTGCCAAGTTTACTACTACTACCACCACCACCACCACCATCACCACCACCACCACCTTCCTCCGACGTTTGACGTGAAAGGGAAGGTAGGCTCGCAGTCCTCGTATGCCCCTCAGCTTCCATGGTTGCAGCTTGAGCCAAGATCGCAATAGGCTGCTGGAAAGGATTCGCCATGAAGAACATGGCTTCCAGCTGTGTGTACCAGCCGCTGAAAAAAGGGTTCCAAGGGGTGACCGCGAATTGCCCTTAATGCTGGCTGGTTGCAGGCATCAGGATGTTGGCTCCTTTTTCATTGGTGGGTTCATGTCCTGTTTCCACTATGCCCATGTTTTAGGTATCAACAGATATAGAAAAATCATCAAAGTGAAGATTCAAGGTTCACAGAGCACATCACCATCCAAGCCGGCTAAACAAACTGTCAACGGTTAATTGAGCACAATCCCACTTAAACAAGAGCCCAATCAAAGAAGTATGAAACGAACCATGGTCACGAACCGCAATCGTTGATTGGCAACCCCGTCCGGTTACGGTTACCGCGGTACGCTGTTCATCCCCCAATCAACCAATGGTCCCTGTCCGGTGGCGTAGCACGGCCCCATAGCCTCATATTTTCTGCAGCAATCTTATGCCTCCATCCGACATCTTAGGGCAATCGCTTTGATGTGTATGTATGCATGTACATATATATATATATATATATATTTATTATTATTATTATTATCATTATGATTATTCTTCTTATTCTTATTCTTATTATTATTGTTATTATTATTATCATTATATTATTATTATTTTTTTATTTTTATTCTTATTATTATTATATATATAATATAGTATATATATATAATAATATATATATATTAGGCATGGGACAATGCTTAAAATTGACCAATTGTGTGGTACTCTGGGCCTTAAATTCCCATGGGCAAGATCACCCACTGCGCCTCGCAGGAAGAAAGCCAGGCCCTGGCCGCGGGACGTGCAGCCATTGGGGAATCGATGTCCTAGCGGGTGCCTAACAAGCGCCCCTGAAAGGGTAAGTATAAAGCACCCTTTAATTCGTCAGGTCCTGAACTAACAGAAGTATTCGTATATTTTACATGATTTCACCGTGTTTACTTCTAGGTCGGGTCGGTGTGACTTTTCTCCAAGCAATACAAGGAGTCGTGTTGGCAACACGGAAATACTGCCCCAAGACGTTGATTGTTTTTTTGGGAAGTGAAGGCGATGGATATGATTTTTCAAATCTTCAAGTTGTCCTCCAATCCAACCACATTGGTCCTGATTCTCCACTTTCTTCTCTTGCGTCTTCTGTTTTTCTGCCATGATATTTTTTGAGAAATCAAGAAACACGTGCGCGTTAATGCGTGTCATTGGCGTGTCGTGTCGGTCAGTAGGGGGTGTCCATAAAGCACCCCTTCGCAAGACGGGTGCCTACGAAGCGCCCCCTAGAAACGTATCGGGTGTTTTTGGGACACCACCTATGCACGTCATTTCCTGTCGATGTTGACTAGTGAAAACCTGACAAAATTCTACCTTGAGACATCCTGCATAATCCTGTTGGGAAAAAGAAAGGCTCGGGGCCTTGTCAATACACGAAAGTTTGACAGTCGATTCAGACAGCATTTCCTGAGGAAACAAAGGGCACCATGTTTTCGGCGGTAAAGCCTTGGTTACCTGCGGGACCATTGTCAAAAAGATGACTTGGATTTAGGATTGGAAGTCATGTTTTTGTGGTGTGCCATCTCCATGAACTTTAAGGGGTGTCTAATAAGCACCCGTTACGAATCTTAATTTTCATGATGCTAATAAGCACCTCTGAGAACGTCCCGGACCATATTTCTATAATTTTCTATGTATCTTTGAAGCCAAGCAGGAACCGGCACGTGCAGTGCACTGATATTTTTTTTGCTTCGTGCGTTCCGGAAAAACTATGGGTCAAGGCGGTCAAGGTCACACTGAAAACGCTAAGAAATGCAAATAGTACCCTCTGGTTATTTAACATAGCCATGGAAAATCACAATTTTTAATAGGTAAACCATCTATAAATGGGCCATTTTCCATGGCTATGTTAAATAACCAGATGGTATTTCACCCAGTTTGATCTAAAAACTGGGTAGAAAAGAAAAACAACACAGCATTGGGGGCAATGGTCTGCAATGCCTGCTCTGGACCCATCTTGAACCCAGGCTCCGCAGGCCCCTGTTGGTTTGCTCGCAATGTTGAGACCGTCCCTATCGGGGCAGATCTGGCAATGGCAGGTTAGTGCATTTTCTCAGCTGTTTTCGTCCCCAGAACGATTTGAAAATTGTCAAAAGGCAGGGAAGTTGAATTTTGAAGGTATTTTTTGCACAAAAAACCTGTTCCTGGCCAAAAAAATAAACCTGGCTAGCATGCCAGCTTTGTTTTGTTCTCAAATACATTGGTTGAGCACGATTCCCAAAACCCAGACATACCCAGACCGTTTATCTGTTGCCAGAAAGATTATAGCCCAGAACATCCCCGAACGAATCCACACGCCGAGTTCCCTGGAACAATTGCAACGGCCCAGCACGATTATACTGTCGACTTTATGTGGTTTTATCTCTCTGATTGAAATTACCATGGAGTCGTAAGGGAAAGATGTTTCAAAAAGCTGGAAGCTACACATTCAATCCAGCAAGCCGTAACCCTTACCGTGTGCGAACCCCGAGTGTGAACACAGTCTTTGGGGAACGAAGTGTGTACGCATGAGAAAAAGCTACCTTGGTTGTTCATTTGCTTTTTCCAGCCACTGTACAAAGCAAATCCTGTCTGAGATACAGTCAGCTTGGTTGCACGTTACATCAAAAAAAACATATGAGGGTTACTTTAATATAATCTAAACAAACCGCCCGCACATCAAAATTTTATAATTTTTCAGCACAAGATTGACCCAGAAAATTCAAAACTCATCGTCCAGTCGTCCACTTTTCCACAGCTGCAAGATCCGAGCTGATCCTGTAGGCGATAACAAGCCACCAAGCTACCAAACTCTACGGTGAAACCTGGTTGAAACCTGGCAGTGGGGAATCGAAGGAAGTTTAGAAGTCAAACTTCCGACAATATGGACAGATGAAAAGCAGAGCAGGGAAGAGGCAGAGAGAAGAGAAAGATTAGAAGAAAGAAGAGTAGAAGAGAAAGAGTAAGAAGAAAGAAGATGCAGATGCGAGAAAAGGTAGGAAAGTCGCGAAACACTGTGTTTTTCCAATGGTTTGGGGCTCCGGAGGGTCGAAAAGTAGGAGGCAAACAGTTTTGAGGGTGCCGAAGGGGCATTCGACAGCAATTCACAACAGGTGGATGATGGCATGCAATTTTCAAAATTTTCTACTGGCGACGAAGATCGCCCTGCTTGCGTGAGTCAGGAAGTTGACATCGATGCCAAGGTTGGAGAATGGAAACGAGACCAAAACCTATTGTTTTTGGAGTTGTGCTCAGGTTGCTCGCTAAAGCGGCGGGTGCGGAGCCAGCTGGCCAGATGAGAGATGAAAAATTGCACGCCGTTGTGGCGCCAAGCACATTTCGAAGTCAAAATGTACAAAGCACACCATTCTCGGACCACTTCTGGAAGTTGAGATGTCGAAAAAGTGCACGCCGTTGTGGCGCGAAGCACATTTCCAAGTCAAAATGTGCAAAACACCTCAGCTTCGGAGCACTTTTAGAAGTTGCGATGTCGAAAAAGTGCACGCCGTTGTGGCGCGAAGCACATTTGGACGTCAAAATGTACCAAACACGCCATTCTCGGACCACTTTTGGCAGTTGAGATGTCGAAAAAGTGCACGCCGTTGTGGCGCGAAGCACATTTGGACGTCAAAATGTACCAAACACGCCATTCTCGGACCACTTTTGGCAGTTGAGATGTCGAAAAAGTGCACGCCGTTGTGGCGCGAAGCACATTTTCATGAACTTCCACACTACCCCCGGCAGTACTACCCTAAGAGAATTTTAGATAGTAAATAAGAAAACGGGTTTGTATCCCCTGATTCTTCAAGAAATAATTAATAGCCTAATAAGGAAAATGGGGTGGATACAAACCAAAACTAATTAGTAGCCTAATAAGAATTGATTTTGGCATTTTGTATAAAACTTATTAGCATGCTAATAAGGAAAAAAAATCCTTATTAGCATGCTAATGAGATTTATACAACTTTTTTTTTGTATAAAATCTTATTAGGGGCCTAATAAGGATTTTTTGCCTTAATAGATGCCTAATAAGATTTTATACAAAATTGACGGGGTATGATTTTTGTATAAAATCTTATTAGGGGCCTAATAAGGATTTTTTGCCTTAATAGATGCCTAATAAGATTTTATACAAAATTGACGGGGTATTATTTTTGTATAAAATTTTATTATATAGGGTCCTAATAAGGAGTTTTTGCCTTAATAGATGCCTAATAAGATTTTATACAAAATTGACGGGGTATGATTTTTGTATAAAATCTTATTAGGGTCCTAATAAGATTTTATACAACATTGTGGATATCAACTTTTTGGTTATTCCTTATTAGACACCTAACAATTTAATGATACATCGACAATAGTAAAACAGGGTCCCCCCCAATTTTTTTTTTGGGGGGGGTCTGCTTCGCAATAGTAAATCGAAAATCCCAACTCTTCCCCAAAGGCTTCTGTAAGGTTTTGACAAATCCTCTCTTTTCTGATGGGCTCTGATGGGATCTTCATTGGATTCTGATAGGAAGAAGGGAAAAAAATGCCTGCTAGAGCCAGGAGGGTTGTTTCTTATTGCAAGTGCTAATTCCAGTTTTTAATTGCAAATGCAAGGACCTGCAAGGGGGTACCCTTTGTGGACCTGTTTTTTGCAATTTTTTAAAAGGATTTTAATAAAGAAAACAGCTAAATTGAACAAGGTAAAATTTTTGATTTGGTAGAGGTTTGCTTTGTTTTTGCTTTTGAAAAACATGCAATCACACAATTAAAAACACTAAGGAAGAAGGGAAAAAAAATGCCTGCTAGAGCCAGGAGGGTTGTTTCTTATTGCAAGTGCTAATTCCAATTTTTAATTGCAAATGCAAGGACCTGCAAGGGGGTACCCTTTGTGGACCTGTTTTTTGCAATTTTTTAAAAGGATGTTAATAAAGAAAACAGCTAAATTGAACAAGGTAAAATTTTTGATTTGGTAGAGGTTTGCTTTGTTTTTGCTTTTGAAAAACATGCAATCACACAATTAA